CCCTCAGCTCTGAAATCTCACACACACACACACACACACACACACACACACACACACACACAAACACGTCTTTTCCATTTGGTCCTTGTCAAAACGCTTCAAGAGACATCAGTGACCCTCCATCCCCTGAGACAAATATGATCTCTTTTGCTGTGTGTGTGTGTGTGTGTGTGTGTGTGTGTGTGTGTGTGAGATTTCAGAGCTGAGGGTAGTGTCTCAACTTATGCACGTTGCTCTGAAATTAATGGCCCGTACAGACTGGCAGCGTGTGTCCTTTAGATTAAAATAGCTGCTCCACAGACACACATTTTAAAGGCACACACTCTCTCCTTGCTCGGACAAACACACAAACTGCCCCCTACCCGTGTCCTGAAGGATTCGGTCAGTTGCACCAGGCAAGTTCACACAAGGACAAAAAGATCCCTCTTAAAATAACATGGGAATCCCTTCCAACTAAGAATGAGCATCACTGACAGGTAGAAGAGAAGCACACTCTCACAGAGACAACAAACACAGGATGAAGGGATAGGTGAGGTTGCATGAGATACTTATCCATATTAAGATTATTATCAAGAGTAGATTGCTGTTTGAACGTCCTCAGTATATGCATATATATATATATATATATATATTAATAATAATAATACCTTTTATTTATACAGCACTTTTCAAAACAATATATATATATATATATATGCATATACTGAGGACGTTCAAACAGCAATCTNATCAGTGTGTGTGCGTGTGCGTGTGTGTGTGTGATGTATTTACCTGCCACTCTGAGGAGCAAGGCCAGATTCAGCAGAGTGGTGGACTGCTTGTAGGCGGTGGAGCAGTGGGCGATGCACTCCTCTATGAGAGACAGACGGTTGGTTTGCAGGCGCACTGGGAGGGAGAGAAGGGAGGCAGAAGGGGGGAGGAGGGGTGTCAGACATGTTTGGCTAATTACTGTACTCAATCTGGAAGAGTTGTAGCGAGACGGTACAAATGATGGTGTGGAAATGATGGATGCGGCTGCAGTCGTGATATCTGCAAAACAAATCAAATGCTGCTAAAGTTTGTGAAAGGTAAAGCCCGACCCTTACAGTATGATACATCAAATAATTTGCATTGCAGCCAATATACAGGCTGAAACATGCATTATGCCAATTTCTCTTATTCACATTATTGTAAGCACAATGTCTTGAATTTTGGTTGAACACTGAAACAAAAATGAAGTGAAAATTAACCTTATGTCTTTATATATCTTTCTCTTTACCTGCCTCCATGTTTATGTCTTTATCTAAATCTGTCTGCTAAAACATTTGCCAGGTTTCACGTGTATCCAAAATCAAAGCTTATCTTTATCCCAATTACTTTAGCCAATACTTTACACATTCAAATCATTCCACACGAAAAGTGTTATAATCCTGTCAACCACAGTCCCTTGGTACCTGTAATCCTGTAAAATGTGCTACAATTTGTTTTATAAATTCGGCATGTATGGCTTTGTTGTTGTAGTCCATACAATTCACAGTGTAAATATGACTCTAAGCAAGTATCTCTTGAACATTAGTTAAATATATATACTAGTGAAGAAAATATTTCGGGAAGATTTAGGATTCGGTGCTCATTGTGTGAAATGTTAAATGTGCATGTTGGTTCTGTTCTCCTCCCAGACGAAAAGGATTCGAATATATCTCAGGAAGGTTTTCTACTGCTTCATAAATTTGAATTCATCAAACAGAAACTCCCAAAATTCCATTTCGTTATTTGTTTTCTTTTGCTTTCACTGAAAAGCTAAGAAATGGCATGTGAAGTGCCTCCACGGGCCTCTGTGATTCCTCTGCACCCTGCTGAGGATCTTTATGGCTTGGCATCGCTTTGGGCGAGGCCTAGAGGGAATTTTGGAGAGGGTGGTGCGTGTGCGCGTGCGCGTGTGCGCATGTGCGTGTGCGTGTCTGTGTGTGTGTGTGTGTTGGGTATAAAGCATTGCCAAAGGCGCTGTTGGAGGGGATGCAGGAGAAAGCCTAAGATGGATTACCTTTGCTCAAATTCTTTCACTTAATACTTGTGCGTGATTATCTGTGGGTGCACAGAGTTACAGGGATATGGCTTTTACTTTTTGTGAAAAAGAAAGACTGTGTGTTTTTGTGTTTTGACAGTATTTGTGCATGTGTCCTTGAGTCAGGACAACACATTTTACGAGGGCACCGCAAGCAATACAGTATCCAGCCATGGTGACAGAACATTGAAAATAGGCTTTATAAAATAATAAATAATAGTCAGTTCTACACCCACGTTTTTTTCATTTTCACTTTCTGTCTCATTTCTCATCCATCCCTTCCTTCCCATACTTTCTTTCTAAACTCCTGGTCTCACTGCAGTCTCACAGGTAAAGCGGGCAATGAAAAAATTATGCGAGAAGAGAGCATGGAGTGAGGAGAAAGAGGCGTGAGAGTAAGGGAGCAAAGGAGGAGTGGGAAGAGAAAAAGAAACCTGAGGAATAAGTGATGCAGAAAGAGAGGAAGAACGTGAGAGAGATGGCTCTCCCCGTCAAAGCGGTTTTATGCTGGCAGCTCAGTTTGACGAGGGCAAAAGAGGGAAGAGAGCCGAGGCCTTGGAGGCAAACAACACCTCGGTTCAGAGGTGAGGCGATGAGGGGCCAAGCTGCTTGCAGACTGGCTCTACAGTTCCCTTTAAAAGAGAGCCATGCCTGGAAACCACTGTGATAGAGTACTGAGGTGGAGCCAGGAAAGAGAGAAAAGGATGAGTGTGGAGGTGAATACTGATTGGTCAGGTTTACAGATGGAGCTGAAATATGAAATATTATGCGAGTGAACGCAGAACGCTTCAATCCTAATTAGGCCATCAGGCAGATGTTGTTTTCAACAGTTGATCTGTAAATAACCATAGATTTCGATATAGTGGCAAGAAGAGGTGACATATGGAGACGGGATGGAGGCTAGATGGGAGATGGAGGTGGGCGACGGCAAACTATATGTCTGAGTTTAAATTAAGTCACAGGATGTGGGGAAAATACTGAATGTACTCTTTCAATATCAGAGTACATGATAACAATGGCCCTACGTAGATGTGTACATGACAGGATGTATGATTACCTAGAAGAGCATCATGTGTCACGATCTGTCTGTGTTGTGTTTGTTTACGTCTAGATCTGTCTTTGGTCTCCTGTTTTATTTTTGAAAAGTGTTCACCCCCCGTCTTGCCTGTTGCTTCCTGTTTCTGGGTGTTTCTCAATCTCGAGTAAAGCTGCTCCAGAGCCAATATTTCAAGCATACTACGTCATCGAGTGCTGCCGAAGGACTGTTCCAATGTCCAGCATACTTGGAATTCCACCGAGCCCGGCGTACTTCGTTAGGAGAAATTTCGAGGCTGCACATGTGTAGACTCCGCGGTCTTAAAATCCCCACAATGCTTTGCGCACGCACCAATTTCCCCAAATCTGGGGCGGGAAATGTAAGGCTGGGACTCTCATGTGACGCACACCTGCACACTTGTTAGCCTGTTCCACTCTTCGTTTTCCAAATGCCAGGAAGTATTCTTGCCTAGTTTCTGAAGCAAGACACTCGGAAGACATGTGCTACCAAGCAAGCGTACTCGACATTGAGAAACAACCCCTGTGTTTTCTCCTCCCTCCTTACCTGTGTCTTGTTTGTGTCATTAGTCTTGTGTGCATTTAAGTTCTGGTTTTTCTGTCTGTCGTAGTGAGATTCGTGATGCTGCTGGAAGGATCTTGTTCAGAGGGATTTTTGCGTTTTGCCTTGCCTCGTTTTACTTTGTTGCCTGGCCTAGTTCCCCAAATAAAGTACTTTGGATTTCAACCAATCTTCTGCATTTGGGCCCTGTGTACCTTGCCCTCCAGCCGTGACATCATGACTGTTTTAGGCATATGATAGCTATGTGACAACAAATAACATGATTATTCAGCCTCTATGGAGAGAGGCATATGACAAGCATGATCATTTCTGACTTAGCTAATCTAAACTAAACATTGTACACTGCTTTGAATTGGTATCCCTCCATCTTGTGACTGTAACCCTCTCTTGTATATAAGCATGTGAAGGACACTGTTCGAGGTAACATATGCTCTGTATGTGATGACTACTTCCTTTCTTGCAAGGATAATAAATACATTTTTCGAACACAGGACAGACAACAAAATCAAGTCATTTGGACACAAACATTTATACTGTGGAGTACCTTGCAGTGGCAGAATGCTGGCGCTGAAGTCTTCCAGTTGGCTGAGGGCGCTGATGAGATCCAGCTCCTCCTGGACGCTCGGAGGACCGTCTGTGATCAGCTGGAGACACACCCTGCAGGAGACAACGGGCAGTTAGAACAGGAGGACTTGTTTGGGTATATTGGCATGCTACTATTGGAGATATTTTGTGTTATTCAATACCCAAGGAATGCGCAATTGTAACTTGGAAATGTAAATGATTGTGTGATTGATAAGGATGGATACATATCTAAGAAATAACAAGAAATTGGTGTAAGGCTGAGCCACATACTAAAGAGCAGTGGATGGATATTATTAGAGAGGTGTATACAACGGAAAAAATGACTTAATAACTTAGAGTGAGAGAAGATATTTTTGATTGTAAATTGAAGAAACGGATCATTTACTACACAGAAAAAGTCTAAAGCAAATGTAGGCATTCAAGGAGACTACAATATACGTGTATGCGACCCCTGACTATAACAACTTGTAACCATTAATGTTATATTTCAGTTTCATTTTTGTTTTGTTTTCAATGTCTTTTATTTATGTTCTTGTTTTTTATTTCTCTACCTTTGCTCTAAGCTAAGAGACGCCACAAGTTAACATGTACATTGTTTTGCGGTTAAATGTACAAACAACTCAATTCAACTAAAGTAAAGAAAGGAGAACTAGCTAAGCAAAGGTAACCTGCTCATATGTAATGAAACAACATTATATGTGTATATATACACTGCTCTGCCATCACGTGAAAGGTCTGCTAACAAGCGACCAACAGAAAGGTTAATGTTGTTGCATCCCCCCGCTACCACCACCCCCCCAAGTATATTACAGATCTGTGGTAAACACTGTATATATATATACACAGTGGGGCAAAAAAGTATTTAGTCAGCCACCAATTGTGCAAGTTCTCCCACTTAAAAAGATGAGAGAGGCCTGCAATTTTCATCCTAGGTATAGCTCAACTATGAGAGACAAAATGAGAAAAGAAAAAAAAAAAATCCAGAAAATCACATTGTCTGATTTTTAAAGAATTTATTTGCAAATTATGGTGGAAAATAAGTATTTGGTCACCTACAAACAAACAAGATTTCTGGCTCTCACAGACCTGTAACTTCTTCTTTAAGAGCCTCCTATGTCCTCCACTTGTTAACTGTATTAATGGCACCTGTTTGAACTCGTTATCAGTATAAAAGACACCCGTCCACAACCTCAAACAGTCACACTCCAAACTCCACTATGGCCAAGACCAAAGAGCTGTCAAAGAACACCAGAAACAAAATTGTAGACCTGCAC